ATTTTAGCTGAAGACACTAAAAATTTTCTAAAGCCGCCTTTGGCGCCAGTATATATTAATTTTGAAGTGGAGCGTGCCGAAAAAACGCAATTTTTTGTTCAAAGTTTTCCCAAAAGTGCCTGTTTTTTTTCTTGAAAAATTTGCTTATCTAGAAAACGCCTTATCTGATCTGAGTTTAAAAACTATATGCGGCACAACTGTATTAAGAATCTTAGGGCAGAATGCATGTTTTTGTCAATATTTTTGCAATCAGTTTCTTTTTTTTTCTATTTTTCACACGACCTCTAAATCATAGACATCTAATTCATTTTAAACCACTACTCTTTGAATTTAACTTTAAGACCTCAAAAAAAAGAAGTTTAATGGTTCAATAGGGAAATTAGCCTTCCGATAAAAAGAAGAACTGTGTCAAAACCTGACGTTTCTCTAATTACAAATTCTGCCCACTTGGCCAAATGCTAATTGATTGTTCAGTCTCCGACCAATAAAAAAAAAATTCATCGTTCGGCATTGAAAAATCGAAACTAACCCAATTTGATCAAATTTTTTTGTTTCCTGTCAGTAAACCGTGCTGGTCTGTTTTTGCGCGGAAAAAAATCTCAATTATCAGAGCGAGCATTGTCACTGCACGGTAAGTGATTTATCCCACTAAAATTGTTCTCTAATTTAATCAAAGGCAAAAGTTTTAAATCATGTACGCTGAAAACACTGTTACGAGACTATAAAATGAAAAATGGTATATTTTCCAATCCAATTTTGTTTGCTTGTGGTTCCAGTGGCTGGAGTTCTGCTTATGATTGGCTTAAAAATACCCATATTTTTAAGAAAATAGCATACAATCAGAGTATTTTGAGTAAGAAAAACTGAAAAATTTTACAAACAAGATATCCAGCAGCAATGTTAAAAATCAATCGCGTCAAAAATTGTAAATGAGATGCTTAGAACTAAACAGAGAGAGAAATAAATAATCAAGCAGATAAAACAATTTTTATCAGTTTGGACAAACTGTCGAAAAATTTTGATTGTGAAAAGTTTTAGTAATGCGATCATTGTTTAGTTGTTTGGTGTGCAAACATCTTTCAAAAACATCACTATAATCATGTGCGGATCCAAGATTTTCTCAAGATGGGCGGATTTTAGAAAAAAATCAAAAAATTTTACATTGTTTGAGGTTCAGCAAATTGATTTTGGGAAAGCTCCAAGATCTCTATAAACACTTCATTTTAAAATCATTTTTTTGGGTCAAAAATGGTCAAACAGACCGTCCAAAAACTGGTCATAAATATCGTTGTGGGCACATTTTGGAAAAATTTTAGACAAAAATTGCATTTTATGTTTGCGCCGAATGTTCTTTTAGAAAAATGTTAGAGTTAGTTGGCCAAAAGGGTGTCAAGAATTATCATCAAAGGTTGGCAACCGGAGGAGGTGTCCGCCTGAAGGAAGTATCTGCCCTGATTAAAATCAAACTGAATAAAAAAACTGAAGAGAAAAAATCTGAAAAGAAAAACAACTTTTTTGATTCGGTTGGTAATTAAAATATAAATTTAGTATTAATTCAGAACTAATTTTTTCAGAAGAAGTCAGTGAAGTTTAAAATCTTAATAATGTGATTCTGTTCATTTAGAAATTGTTTTTTTGAGAATTCTACGCTAACAAAAATTTATTCAAGATTTTGATCATAAAAACGGTTTTTTTTATGAAGTTCGCGTTTTGTTCTCGACTAGTAGTTTTTTTTACCAGAACTTAGCCAAAGGAAAACTTAGTTTCACTCCAAATCTAAACTAAAAGGACTGCTCGTATCAGCGCAAAATTCTTAATGTTCCGACTGTCTTTAAAAATGTTTGCTAAAAATAAAATGATTGAAATTATTTAAAAAACAACAGAACATTTTTTGTTACTTTTTTTGAAAATCATCAACCCACATGCTATATAAAGTACACAGCGATGTTTTTGCAATAAGCAAAGTATCAAATATACCAAATATCCCGCGTCAGTTCAATTGGCACAATTTATTAGACCGATTGAATCTCCGTTTGCCCGTTATTAGCACGAAAAGTATCGCGAGTTAGTTGACCCAAATTGATACAATTGATAATTTTTAAACTTACCAAAAATTGACTATTAGTAAAATATCTTTATTTGTTTGAGCTGAGCTCAGTACAGCAATGAATTTTGGATCAAAATTCAAAAAATTCCAGAAAAAAATGCTGGTTAAAAGTCGAAACTCGTTCGGAGAAAAAAGGCTCGAGCTCAAATATTGAGCAACTTTTCTCTAAAGTCGGAACAAAAATGCCGGATTGAAAATTTTAAAATACAAACCTCAAAGAAGTATAAATCCGTTTTTCTGCAAACTGACGCCTATAATGATCGATTTTAATCTGCGCAATTGAAAACGGTTAAGAAAATTATTTTAATTTCTTTTTCAAAAAAAATTAATTTCTTTTTCAAAATTTGTGGACTAAAGTCTTAAATCTATAAATAATTACGATGCAGTGAGTCCGAAATTGTTTTGTTGTTTTTCGCACATTTTGATTCTCTGAGTCCGAAATTATTTTGTGATTTTTCGTAATTCGGACATTTTGGGATAATTGAACGGTGAGTATGAACGACAAAGTTGTCCGGCTTCAAACTTATTCCAAGATTATTCCATATGTAAAATTTATCATTTTGTTATCGACTGTGGCAAAAGGATAATTTCATTTAGCCATATTTTTTGATTTTCCTTCATTTTGCTAAATTACAACTTTTTAAAATGCATGTTGTGTTTTTCACATGTTTTTGTTATAAAAAACACCCACGCACAATCTTTTCCAAAGTTTTTTAAAAGTGAAAAATACTCTGTATTTGCTTCTTCAGACGACTTAGATAAATGAACAAGAGTCATTGATAGAAGTGCTCTTGAATTTTTTTGAGACATGTGTATGTTTTTTTTACCTTGAAAACCTTGAATTAGAAAACTTTTCGAGAGACATTGTTTTCTGCATTTTCAGCGGCTTGAAGTTTATAGGAATGGCTAACTTTCAGTTGTTCAAGCTTATTTTTGACCCATTTAAATTTTTTGTTTATTAGTAACAGACGAGCTTTTCCGTTTCAAAAATTGTTCCAAAATAGAATAAAATCTCAAATTCGTTCGAAAAGTTATGCATTTGATAGCAAAGTACATCCTTAAGTATTTAATTTTGCGTTTCAAGGCCAATGAGACTTTTTGAAAGAAACTTACAAACTTTCTCTTCTAAATTTTTCAATAAAAAAATTAATGAAAGAAATTGATAAGCTTTCAGAATAAATTAACCAATAAGCTGATATGACCAAAAACTTTCAATTTGATTTTTGAGTTTAGGTTTTATGCAATGCAAAAAAATTCAAAAAATTGGTAGTTTTGGATAATTTTTTAGCCTTTCTTAGCCTTTTTTTTGTACAAATTCTTTTTTTTTCGCGTACATGTGTTTTTCGATTTGCATATAGTAACAGTCACTAGAAGATCTCAATTTTGTGAAACAATTATTGACCATGACCACAGGACATTGAAAAACGTTGAGACCATTATTTAGAAGCAAAAGGTCACTTGAATATCCATTGATTTCTCTCGATTTCAAGTTTACAGTTCAAAAACGTCAATACCTAAAAACAGGGACGGACCGTCGACCTTCTGTCGACATTTTGTCTACTCTTTTGTAGACATCTTTTGTGGACTTTTTGTTGTTCTCTTGTCGAATTTCTGTCTATCTTCTTTTTAGATTGACTAAATTGATTTTGTCGACTGTTTTGTAGGTCTTCTTTTTTAGAATAACTTGATCAGTTCGAAACTTTCTGCAACTTGAACATTCTGCCAAGTGAACAACACTAACGTTTAAAGTAATTTATCGTATCTGCTTCTGCTCAGACTTCATGTACTAAAAATGAAATTGGACGACAAAATCAATAAAAAAGGATTGAGAAGTTTTGAATTTATTGTTTGGTTCTTTTCCAACTATTTTGACGGTTCCAGACTGTTATTAAAACAGCAAACTCTCGAAGTTCCATAAAATTTGATTATATAATCTTATAACTATAGTTTTATTTCACGAAGAAATACGACACAGTTATAAATTTGGAATTGAAATCAAAATAGTTATTTTGTTCGAAAGGCAAAACAGACGCATTATCGCAAAGATTTATCCATATGGACTAGCAACTGTTTTTCATTGATACTTTCTATTCTAAACCAACACAAGAATAATTAGCCATAATATTTGACCATTTCGAGGTGACCAAATTCTCGCGAGAGTGTCGACCGAATGTTTCCTTTTCAACCCAAATACAATAATCGACCAAAATTTTTAGTCGACCGAAAAATAATTTGAATTTACGTTCGAAACTGATTATATCATTTGATGAAGCTGCCTTCTTTCCGACAGAACCCATAAGTTTATTAATTTTTGCTTTGAAGCATGGTCTCCTAGGACTTCATTAATTTATTGTTGACGAGATGGATATTTCGAAACTTTATCAATTTTATCAAACTTATTCAAAATTTATTTGCAATATAACGCTATAATAGACTCTTAATTAATTATTAATAACGTAATAATGTGTCTTTTTCGATAATTAAAGAGAAAGTATCATCTTACGTAAGTTTCCCACGCCCTTTTAAAAATATTATATTTCTATTTCTTAGCTCTCAGAAATACCCAAACTTTCCATCAAAGGTACCACTTTCGGATTCCTTTTTTTATTAACTAATATATTCTAGAAATCATAAATGCATTTGCACCTGACGCGAATTTTGCAGAATTGATTAAAAGTTTAAGTAAAACAAACTGATTTGAATATGTACTTCAAAAATATATTTCCGGCGCTGTATACTTCATTAAAAGTACCACTTTATTATGCTAATAACTGAAGAAAACGCTCCTTGAACCTGTCAGTTTTTGTACGCATTTTTATAAGTAGATAAGTAATTGTATTAATCCTTGATCAATAGAAAAAAAAATTTATTTATTTTTCGATTTCTGTTTTAGCTGTTGTGATAAAAAAATATTGATAGAGCTCTGACCGAACTGCAAAGGACGAACTTCGTGAAAAAAATTGGTGCAGGACCAAAAAAATATCATAAAAAATAGGAAAATTACAAACAAATTAAATCCAGAAAATAACAAAGCGTAAAAACTGCGAGGAAACGTGACTCAGAAAATGCTGTTCACGCGAATTATTCTACCAATTCTGTTCGCTATCGGAATGGTGGCTAATATTGGAGCATTGGTTTTGATAAAACGACAATGGTCAAGAATCAAACGCCATATTGTGAGCTACACATTGATACACCTGGCCATGAGTGATATCCTGTATCTGCTGGTGCTCGGAGTAATCAGCACTGAGACGCTGATGAACAAGATTATATCTCCTCTCCTGTGCAAGTAAGTTTTTCGAAATAACTTTTGAGTCAACTTTTTGGGTGATTTTGGGTGACTACCTTAAAAGTTTGAAAGACTGATCAAATATCACTGAACGACAGATCTTTGCTCTACTCAGTAGTGTCTACTCAGAAAATTTTGTTTCTACTCAGTGGTGAAAACTTTAAAAACAGACGAGATTGCTCATTTGAGATTGTTCATTTTATATTATTCATCAGTCAAAAGCGTTTTTGAGGTGTTACAATCTCAATTGGATTAATAAACAATTTGTCCAAGAAACGTCCAGAAATTTTATTGCTTTTCAACAACTTTTTAAATTAAAAATACAATGAAGACTGATTATTTGAAAATCACTCGCCTTTTGTTTCTCAAATTGACCAAGTTTTTCTATTTTCAAGCCGACCCATATTCTCAAACAACAAAAATGTAAAACATCTTTTAGTGTTTTCAAACTCCAGACTTTCTCGGGGTTGAACATTTGGTGATAAAAATTACTGTTTCAATGAAAAATCAGGATTCGCCATCGATGATTCATGCTCTTATCACAAAATACTTGAGGCGATTTTATCCAAAAGAGAAAAGACCGGCAAACGAGCTGTTCAACTCTTGACGGAGAACCAATTTGGTGCCCCTTGTTAAGATATACATGCATTTTTGCTGTTTTTTGGGCTAAGTAGTTTTGCCTCGCAACGTGCACTGAGCACGAATCATGGTGGGCCTTGAACATCTGATCTTTCGATTGAGAGGCGGAGGTTTAACAACTTCCGCTCCCCGAACATCAATTTTGACGTGGACTTTGAGTTACAGATAGTTAACAATTAAAATTTTCTTATCCCTAATCATTTTTGAGCTTCAACGTTTTTACAAATGACATGAAATTTATCTAAAGTTATCAGTTATTTGCTAAATTAGGGTTAAGTTGTTGTTCAGACCGCTTTCAAAAAATTGAAAGGAACTATGAAACAAGGTCGGTTTTTTCTACTTAAACTTTTTTGCCAGCTAATTTTTTACTTCTAATTTTCAGGAGTCAAGCATGATATCATATCAAAAAACTAGTGGTCGCGTATTGGAAAAAAATCAAAAATTGCCTCAGCAATGATCATAACGGGGTTCAAAATTTCAAATTTTTCAGACTAGGATATCTAGAAAATAAAATAGGAATTAGAAACTGACCTCTAAGTTTATTTCTACATGAAGTTTGATGTAATATTAGCAATCATTTAGCGTTTTTGCTTTTATTCTTGATGAAATAACTTTTCGAGAAGAATTTTTAATTTTTTTTTGATTTTTAAAATGTTTTCATGATTTTTGATTTTTTCATCAAATAGATCGGAAAAATTTTTGCGACTTGAACACCATCAGTCCTTGTTTATCTTATATTTGGAGTTTTACCTTACTCTAAGATCAAATATAAGCCTTAAAAGTGGACGCTGTGATCAACAATTGAGAAAATGATGACCTTACTGAAAAATGGAAATGACTTACAAGCAATCACACAATGCAAAAAAAAAAATTTCACTGGAATTTCTGGAATCAATATCATAAAAAGATTGATTTTTATCTCAATGTTTTTTTCTCTGACGAATGTTTTTTTATACGTAAGTTTTTTTAATATAGCATAATTAACCATCTAACATCAGAAGTTGTTTTGTTAATTATAAACCAAATGGCAAGCCTTTTCAAATAGACTCAAAATGTTACTCTTTTTTGCCTCTTTTTGGCGTAACTTTAAAAATGCAAAAAAAAAAATGCGCCAGTTTATTTTAAATAAATTTTTTTTTGATATTCATTTTACACTAGATGAGCTCATTCTAATCTTGAAGATAATAACAAAATAAACTGGTTTGTTTTTATCCCTGGAAATATTTTGTTTCCTTACATTCCTACCAATTGAACTAAAAGATTTTTAAAAATTTCCTAACGCAAACAATCAACTTGTATACTAAATTTAAAACTTTTACAAAAGCAGAGCCAAATGACTAGCACTTGCCAAAAATCGTCCATTAAAATCTATATACACGTAGAAAATTTTTTTGACGTTTTTAAGAGCATACGCATCTATGTTTATTTAAATATTTTTTGACATTTTTAGGAGCATAGGCATCAATGTTTATTTAAACTTTTGAAAAATAATGCTTTTTTTTGCTTATTACAATCATCAATTTGAACTTTTTGATTTTTTGTTAAGCTTGAAAAGATTTGTTTTTTTTCTTTTTTCGTTTGACGCCTTACATAATAGCTTTTTAGACAACTTTGTTTGCATCTCAGCAATCATCTAAACTGAAGTTTCATAGAAAATAATCCACTATTTTGCTTTCTCCTTGTCGGTCTCTATGAAATTGATAAAAACAATGATTATAACTCATTAAAAATATTATCAATTTTTTTGCAAAAATCTGAAATTTATTTTTATTGAAATATAATTCAGGTTCAATTGATTATAATCTAACATTTGGTTATTCTGGTTGACTCATTTTTCTTTGGTTTGTTACAAATATCAGTTTTGAACCAAATACAAACAAAATTGGTGATATTTGTCTCTCGTTTACCCTTTTATCCTCCTGCCCCGCCGGCCAATTTAACCCCTCGCCTTCTCGTTTATTCCATGTGAGAGGGAAGGTTAACTTAAATTCGGTGTTTACCCCCACTAAAATCCCCTACCAACTTTCTTATCCGTGTACGTCCTCCTGTGTATATTTATGTTTTGTGAACCACATTAAAAACCAAAGACCCCCTCACCTCAAGCGCGGGGGTTGGGGCGGGTGGCGGCGTTGAACAGGGGGGGGGGGGGGTGAACGTGTTTGTATATGTTCAGTGATAAAAATGCTCAATTTACCGGACCTTGTGCATTTTATAAAATTAAAGTGTAGTTTGTTTCTTCCATTTTTTTCAAAATTTAATTATTTGTTCTCAAACAGTGCTCAACAATTGACCGTAAAATCAATTTTCATGTAAAATTAAATTGTATTCAGCTTGCCGGGTTGTTCAGTTTTCTTTTTGGAGAAAAATATTAAGATAGTTAACCAATCAGGTTTCTAAGACTTTTTCACCACTTTCAGAAATAAATTTCTCTGAGGAAACTAGCGAAAATTGACAAATAAGACTTGAGCTGCATTTAATATTTTTGGGTGAATTAATTTTAAGGTTAGTTACATGAGATAACCCAAACTTCCCAATTTCAAATCACGAAAAAAAGAAACAAAATTGCTCAAAGCTGATTTGTTGAATCCAAATAGTGACAAAGTATAGCTTAGACGCCGTATTTTTTTTATTGCATGATGAACTGTTAAGTAATATTCTTTAAGCAATTAAAAACGATTACATTGTGAAAATTTTCGCAAATTTGTTAAAACGGATCTACTAAACAATTATCTCTCCGCCTTACAAGAAGGGGGGCGGCGGCAATTGTTAAGTGGATTAAGTTAGTCGAATTTGCAACCAATCAGAATGCAGCATAATTCGAATTTTAAATACAACACTCTAGTTCTATTACTGCTTTTATTTATAGGGTTAGCAATTCTTTACTAAATATCAAATGGGCAATTGGGCAATTGTTAAGAAGATCGTTAAAACTGCAGAGTGGAAATTTTGGTTCTCTTGATCTATTCCCCCCTTTGGTGCTAGTACCAGTACCGAGAATTTTTTTTTTCTCACCTGAACAACTTGATATCTAATTCTTTTTGAAATGTTTAGAAAACAGCAGGGATTTTTTTTAAAGTTCTTTATTTCTCAGCTTAATTCTGATCAAAAAGTAACTAAATCTAGGCTATTTCTGGCTAGAAAAAATTCTCCTGGTGGTGCTCGACCCCCTGACCTTCAGTTTTCAAGTCGGTTGTGCTAACCATTATGCTTCAGGCCTTGATGAATAATGATAGTTTTAGCAGAAAAACACTTGTTATAACAAGTGCTAGTTTACAAGGTATTGCTATTATTATTGTGTATACTCGAAGCATGTTTAACTCGTAGCGGTTGAGCAATGAAATGATTTTTTTGCTTTTTGTTTCCAGAAACTGCTTATTTCTAAACTAGAAAAACATTAAATCATTTCTGCGCAGAAAATATGAGAAAACTAGATTCGATCATCTATATAAAATTTCTATCTAGAAAAACAGCCTCCGTTGGGCACGGGCTACGAATCGCCACCCCTATAAGAAAACTAATTCAACGGTTACAGACCTGTGAATTTTGAACCTGAAAACGAATCTCACTTTTTTCAAAGGGGGGATAGTTAAGGAGACCCGAATTTCTATCCAAAAATTTTTTTCCACGTATGTAATTCAATTGATAGGTGGACACTGTAAATTCTCGTTCATTTCGAAATAAATTAGGGCTTGACCCAGGGGGCGGTTTTTCAAAAAAATTTTCGAAAGTTTTGACCATCTTTTTAGGTCAACCAAATTGATTTTTTGAGCTCTCCCAATCACTATGAAGACCCCATTTTTCACCAAATTTTCTGGACCGCAGTCAAAAAATAGGCCAAAAAATGCGTTTTTAGGCACTTTTTGGAAACTGTTACCCGCAATGAAGTTTTATGGATATTATTCAATTATATTGGATTTTCATTGGCAGTCTCTATAAAATAACAAAAATAATCGATTATAATCGATTAAAAACCGGTTTATAATGATACTATTTTTTAAGCAGTAAAATCCCAATATAATCGATTGTAATCGATCATAATCGATTACTTTCAACTCATTTTCAAAAACTCATTTTTTGTTTTCATTTTTTCATACTATTGTTCAACTTTAGATTGTACAACAAGGGGGGGGGGGGGGGTACGTGGGGGGGGGGGGTGTTGTACGGGGGGATTGTACGTGGGGGGTACGTCGGGGGTACTGGGGAACTGGTCAAGAATGCCGTTTTTAGGCAATTTTTGGAAAAACACTACATATTGGCCTCTTCAAAGTGCTTACATATTAGCCGCCCCTGGATGAAGTGTTCGTTCGAATCTTGTAGAAAATTGCAAAAAGTAGAGTCATTTTTTACAAAATTTAATCAAT